TTGTACCCTTTCTCCTGAAGGTTGGTTATAAATGTCCTATAATTATGTTTTGTATTCCTCCATATATTCTCTGTTGTCATGGTGATGACTCTCTTACCACACAGTCATCTGCCTCCCTCCTTCAGACTATTTCAAAAAGTCAATTAGGTGCTGGGACACTCCAGGTTTTTACAGGACCATCTTATCTCAGTTCAACATAGGGGTGACACCCACTGACTGGAAAATTGATCGTTGAAAAGATGTCATAATTAGAACCAAACTAGTGGATCATCTGCACAGCAATATGATTCTAAGTGTTAGCATGAAGTTAGGAAAGGTAGGTATTGCTTAATTAACTTGTTTTGGTTTTTTTTAACAAGCAACGGCAGTAATGAATACAAATGCAGGATATAATACAGTAAGGTTTCTTTTTAGAAGGCTTTCAATGAAGTTAGATGTTCACAGATGATATAAAAAAGGTGGAAGCAAACGCTTTAGACTGAAGCAAAGGAACCTTTATAACGTTCTGACAAAATTAGCCAAAAGAGTTTGCCAACACCTAGCAGATGACGTTAAATAAGGTTTATTCCATGCTGAAAAGAGGAGAAAAGAAACACAACGCTTCGGCTGTGGAGTCTTCTTCAGGTGACCCTATGGAAGCCCATTTCCGCCAGGGAGTAAAAAAAAAATGCGCTATAGTACCTCACAATTGCGACTTTGTATCTAAGAATTGCGAGTTTTTATCTCGCAACTGGGACTTAAAATCCCAGAATTAAGACTTCATATCTTGCAATTGCGACAGAATCTCAGAATTGCGACTTCGAAATAGCCCACATTTCATTGCATGTCCTTTGGTTATGAGCTCCTCCCTCACCGCATTGTGCTTGAACCCAGGTCTTGCCAGCTGAGCTAAGCCCCGGCGGCCAACATCCCTGTTATGCGCGGGGTGCATTTGTAAGACAGTATCTATCAGCGATTGTCCAAAATAATTTCCAATTTATATTACTAAACATAGCATTTCAAGGAGACACAAGAAGGTATAAGTTTTTGAAATAGTCTGAAGGAGGGAGGCAGATGACTGTGTGGTAAGAGAGTCATCACCATGACAACAGAGAATATATGGAGGAATACAAAACAAAATTACTGGACAATTATGACCAATATTCAGAAGGAAGGGTACAAATAGATATTTTTATATTAAGATCTGATTAGAATAAAGGATCTGTTCTTGTTATTAATCTGTTAATTATTTCGGCGAAATACTTCAACCACAAAAGTAAATGGGCTTCTTTTGCCAGATGAGCAACCTGGCCTGGCTACGTTCATTGATGGTGCCAGAAGTGACGTCAAAATTCTGAGTTTTTAAGTTGCAATTGCGAGATACCATAGCACGTTTTTTTTAACTTCCAGTTATGAGTCCAGGGCCCCAACACCTATCCGCACTATCTAAACATGATCATTTTCTTATGTGGAACTGACTGCAGCCTACAGAGAGGAGAGGGTAGCTCCCATTACAAGTGCTGCTGTAGTCAAATGCCAGAGTAATGTCTTTCTGTGTAGCCTCATACTTTGTGCACAGGGTGTAAAAGAGGATTCTAAGCCGCTCGGATCATGGTCAGGTGACGATGTGGGGTGAATAACTGCCTTCTTGAAGGATAAATACAAGAGGATCAACTTAGAGAAACCATTAAGACTTAGCAGAATATGTTTGGGATATAGAAAGAACAGAAAACACCTGTTAAAAAACAATGTACTAACACAGAAAGGAGTTAAAGTATCACACAAGACACCTGAGTCCAGAACTAAGCCAAAAACTCAATAGTCACTAGGTAGCAAAGCTAACTTCTACATCACAGCAAAAAGTATTGACTCTCTTGAATGCATAATATGCTCATTCTTATTATGCAGTTCAAGTCTTCTGTTAATAGGACTTAAGTACAATGCATATCCTGTTTTTTAGGCCTATTTTGATTGTAGTACTGAAACTGCTTTGCTGTGAGTCTGTTATATATTATGTAGTCTGGTTTTGTTTTGTAAAATCTATCTGCAGTGTTTGAAACGGCAGATCATGGTTTTGATATCTTGGGTCAGTTGCATTGCAGAATACACGCTAGCTATCTGTTGTTGATACTATGAATATCAATGATTGTTCTTTCATGATACGTGATCATGGTGATCACTTCTATGCTGTAGTGTATAATTTCCATTTCCTGTGCAAAAAAAATAGCAATAACACTTCTCACAGAGTGTCTGTCTGACGTTTAGTCATACTAATCTTGCACATTTGGCTGCTAGCGGTTAATGGGGCCAAAGGTTTCATTGCCCATTTCTTGAAAGACATGAAGTTGTCAGCCTCAAAAACATAGAATGGTAGCTCCTTTCCTCAAAAACATAGAATTGTAGGCTACAACAACAGTCCTGAGGTTTCCGGTTACTTCATATAATGTGTATCATCGTTGATTCTTAAGAAATCCATTGCATTAACTGTGTTCATACTGTTATGGTTAGTGGACGGGGCTATTGAGGTGTTTAAGAATATAGTGACATTTGCAGATCTCAAAAGCTTCAAAGCTAGAAGTAGGAACTGAGGTGTTTACTGAGGTGTAGGGCAGGGGTTCCCAATCCTGGTCCTAGAGACCCACACACCTGTTGGGTTTAATTCCAGCCAAGCTTTCAGTTACGTCATTGAATTTGTAATTGACTGAATAACAGGAGCAATTGGAACTGTGTGATTGTTTTCAGGCTGAAAACCTACTGGAGGTAGGCTTTTTACTCTTTCATTTCCTAATTCAAATTTAAATCAAGTCCCAAACTATCGAGTTGGAAAAAAATACTTGAAAACGTTCCAATCAAGCAGCTAATTTTTTCAATTACGGCTTCGATTTAGTAACTCAGCTCAGCTGGTCACATCTCAGTACCAAAATTAATTCATTGACGTTCAAGAAAAGTTTGAGAAAATTCTAATTAAGCAGAAAATCATGAACTTTGTGAAAGTACTGTTTGTCGCCAGGTTATTGCCAGTTCCCACGGACAGTGAAGTGATGTGGCCCTTCCTGTTGGAAGCAGTTGGAAGCTTGAAACTGTTGGAACTGTTGGAAGCAGACCTATCTCTCTGCCCCTCTAAAGCTCCATTCGGTATTCCAACAAACGTTCTGCTACAAAAGTCTATAAGAATACCCATAACATTCTGTCTTGATGCCATCGTAAAACCAAAGGAAACATTATGCACAATTGAAAATGTACCGCCATTAAATAATTATTGTTTGTATAAAACCAGTTAAACAAGAGAATCCTGTTCTGACACCAAATATAGTGGAACGTGATTTCCTTTATAAAAGATTCCTAGAAAATGGTCTCTTATGGTTAGTGGAGGCATTTTGTGAATGAAGAGATAGGGTCCCTTTCACTTTATAGCATCCAGATTTATATAAAGAGAGACTTAACTCTATGTCATATTCTGTTTGGTTTGGTATAAAGCTCCTGAAGCTGTATAAAGGATTATGAATATTTGGCAGTAGTCTGTTTTTTGGGTTGGTCATGACATAGACCTCTGAAAAGCCCTGTTTGTAAATAGAGTAACTTGTATGTTTTATGTTGTGTGCTGTGTTTAGAGTGTGTTATTGTCATTGTAAATAATTACGTGTTTGTCCCAGTTTGTGTCTACTTTATGACTCCTTCACCAAAGCTATGCCAGAAAACAAACATCTCAAGTTCCTCCACTTATACCATGCATATTCTCTGCATTTCTTTTCCAATTTGGGGGCTGTGATTATTTATTTTACCTATTGATTATCCCATTTGGTCTGTCTTTGGCATTCCCGCTGTAGTTTTCCCTGTTCTGGGCAAACAAGATTTAGTATTTTTAGCTTACCAGTATAGAAAGTTCCTTAAAGCCAAGAAATGCAGTTAGGTAGAACATTCTTTTCAGGAATGATTCCAGAGCTTTATTAACTTTTTGTTATAACAAAATGACCAATTTAAAAAATATATATTTTAAATTAAGAATTAGTAGTCATGCATTCTGATATCAAAAGATGAGTAAGGTCGAGCCTTGTCAGTACTGGAATGTGGACTACTCGTACTACGTGGAAGAGCACCGAAAACAAAATCTTTTTTTTTTTCAGGTGCACTGACATTTTAGTGATCACACATGACACAGGTAAATACGTGATGTAGACTTCAACATTTGTCTTCAACGGGGCTGGCCTGCTGTGAGAATCAAAGACTGTGTAACCACTGTTGGAAGCAGTATTTAGCTGTACCTTTGCAATGGATGTTTTGCACCAGGTTGCAGATGTTGTCTGGTGGGATTCTGCCCCATGCCTCACATGCTTCTATAGCATGGAGATGTGAACACTAGATGCTACATATTCTGTACGCCATCTCAGCTTAACCCAGCTATATTCATGTCACATCATGCAGGTAGGGCATCCATCATCATTTCCTCGTATTGCAAGAAACCTGCTGTTCCACTAACAGCATGAGGAAGTACACTGTTCTGCTAGGATTCTGTGATGTATCTATCTGATCAGAATTCGATCAACGCGGTGTTGTGAAGTCATGTTGCCAAGAATCACAACAGCAGTTCTGCAGCAATTAGACACTCCTGCTGTGGCACTCACTCTTGGATCCCACCAACAACTTGCCTGTTGTGCAATTAGCACACAGTATCATTCAACATGTCTGCACCACACTCCCTGGTGTCCATCAAGGTGGTCTACACAAAGCCTTGATTCACTGCTAAAGACGACTTGGGTCCCACAGCTGGAGTATCAAAGAATCAACCTGAAGCAACAGTCTAGATTCCAACATACTGCACTAAGGCTTTTTTCTTTTCATATATGAGGTATTTTGGTTCCTTTCTGTATTGCCATTTCTTGATTTTCACCTGGCTTGACATTCGATGGGTTAAGTCACCTCTGCCCTACGGCCTCTTGCGAATGAGATCGATTAAGTCAACTTTAATCTATCACAGTCTGTCATAAATTATAAAGTTATCAAAATGACACCAACAACATAAATATCCAAAATCCATAAACTTTATTTTTAAAGACATTTATAAAAATAATGTTTGAATGTATTATTTGCAGCACATTTTGTACAACTCCTCTGAATATTTTCTCAGTTAAAGACTCAGTTAACAGATTTAAAAAACTGGTATGTGACCTAGTTCTTATTTTGCCTCTTTGGAAAATTGATGTTAATGTTGCTCTCAACACACTTTGTATGGTTCGCATCACAATATTATAATAATATATCAAGAGCACCATTCCTTGTTTGTGCTACATGTATATCTTATCTTCAAATGTCATCCGGTTTATAAATGGTTATAAACACACTCTTCATGGGCGTCTATATTTAACTGTGGTTCACAGTGTGCTTGTGCCCTAAATGTGACAACAGCGTAAATTCAGTTCAGTTCATTTATTTTAACATCAGTTAATCCTGAGATCTCTACTTACAATTTTTTCTACCTAAAGTACAAGATGTTTAGTGGTAACCACATTTTGTTTCAACCATTCAAAATTGGGAGGCAAAAGAAGAACTATTTGGACTTTTATTGGTATACAAAAAGAATAAGCATTGTTACGTGTGTTACACCTATGAAAAAGGGACAATTCTTTCTGAGCTCCAAAGACTCTCATATAAACCAAAATTCTTAATACTGATTTTACTTATCTGAACTTCTCAATTTAAAAAAATATATTTACCCAATTTGGTCATTCTTAAAAAAGTAAAACATTTTTCAATTGAAGGGTAAATCAACAGGTACAAATTTGAATTATCCAACTAATTAACATAGTTATAAGCTTCTGACATCCTTTAGATAAATAGATGAATATCCAATGGTATGAGATGTAGACTGCAAACTGGGTAAGGTGTTGATTTAATCATCGCAATGTACCCCTTACCATGTGTGGACATGTCCTGCTGGAGAATGGTACTAATGGTGACTGTTGTGCGATTCTGTGTGCATCCTGCTGGGCTCTGTTTTGTTTGCAGAAGTCACACTAGTTGACTAGCTGACAACAACATCCTTTAATCTATTTGGGTCCCAGAATATTGTCATCATCAGTGTCCTAACAGTGACCTTTCTGGTGCTGCTCTTTGGTGTTTCCATGGCATTTACAGCCGTTTACTCTCACGTTCATAATGATGAACACGGGTTTCATTAATGTTGATGTGTCACCTGGTGCAGTGATCTGCAGAATATACTGGCGGATTCACAATAATGTCTATGATCGACAGAGAGCACTTCTAGCACCTTTACTAAGTAGAATCTAATGACACATTGCTTCTCCATCCTCTTGTAGTAGGGCAGTCAACTATACTCCACAACTACAGTAAATGTACCACATTCAGAGAAGTCAGATACTCACAGTTTTCACTTCAATTTATTATGTACTACCTATAGACAGTATTACATATACTCTAAGTGATAGTAAAATTCACTTATTTATTGACTTGTCCTCATTTAATGGCAACGTCAGCTCAAAGATTTGGTTCAAACCATCAAATGGAGACGGGCGTGCCAACAAGCGGACCCTGCTGATTAACGCTAGGATGAGAGATTGACTTGTCCTCATATCATTGGGTGATATTTTAGCAGGGAAAGCTCATATAATCTATGGCAGTTCATTTTGTATTTATGCAGTACAACCTGTGGCAAAAGACACAAATTACTATGAACAAAATACGTGATTCTGTCCTTCCAAAATAAACTAGACTACTGACATAGGAATTGAGAGAAGGGCTCCTATTACTGCATCATGATCGGCAGAAAACTTGATGAGTTATGACACTGTCATCATACATTACAATATTAATTAGGTAATAGTCGAAATATTTGCATGTTGCTTTTATCTGGGACTCTGTGTGTGATATTTTGGCAAGAGCCCATTAAATGCAATATGGGGTTATTGTATAGAGAGAGTAAAGTTTTGAATAAATATAATATAAATAACATTTCATTGCTGTCTAGGTAAACCCTCATCCCAACAACTCATCCCAAGTTCATAAAAGCTCTCATATTCCAAGTTCATAATGATTACTAATGCAGAGCAGGCAGTCGTATCACAAAAGGGTTTTGACAGCAGCAGAATTATTTACAAAACAATGCGTTACACTAACATTTGCCGTTTTAATGAATATGTTATTCCTCATCTTCATTTTCTGGCACGTTCAAGGTGACGTCTTTGTTGTTAAGTGGTTTAGAGATGGGTTGGAGTTCTGATGGCATGATGGGGGTCCTCGACCTGGGATGGCTTAAAAGAAAGAGGAGCTCTCATTTGATCCATACAGTACCTGCGATTTTATTCAGGCCTTTGATACAGTGGTATACAGATGCTGCCAAATTTAGTTTTAAGCATAAATGTGGCCCCATTTGTTTTTCGCGGCAGGGCCCAATCACTTTCGGCATAAAAGCTTTTTGATAAAAGTTACTAATCGTAGACAAGTGGAGGGCCAAAGAGTCTCCTTCAAGAACCGGAGCAACTGATCTCAGCTGATTATTACATCGTGCCCAGTTTTAAAATGATAGATAATCTTGTGTGACACTCCTCACCCACCACACCCATCCTTCACATCTCTTCGGTCTTTCAACACCCTCACCCAATGGAGCCATTCAGTACTCGACACACTGTCAGCTCCACTGTGCCTAACAGGAAAATCAGCACCAACTGGAAGAGTGCTGCATTACCCACTGACAACACTGGAAACTAGGAGGAGCCTAGCAAGTTATATTAAATTTATTATTTTATATAAAAAACAGTATATGTAAAAAATATTACATCCAAAAGAGCCTTTTTCCATTGTGAAACGGGATGTTGAAAGGACTCAGTTTAAGTCAGATTAACTTTATTAACCCTCGCCCTTCTGTGACCAAATGTGTATGAGTCATTTGAAAACCTCATGGAAATAATGAGCTGCTTGTTGTCTGAACTGATATGACGCAATAGGGTCCCCTATTGAGGCTGCATGGAAGCTTTAAGGCCTATATAGTAATGCAACATTAATTCTCTTACCGGTATATCCTCCACACATAAAACATGACTGCAGATGCGAGAATGATCACTGTGAATGTGGTTCCTACTGGGAAAAAAACAATGAAATGAAAACAATGCAGCAATGCAGCAATAATTAGTCGTTTGCTGCTCTAGAAATAAGTTTGTTTTTGCTTACCTCCAGCTACAGCACCAGTAACTGAGGAGACAGAGATTTCTGAAAAAATAAGAATCAAAACAGATGAAGCTGGCAGAAACAAACATATTAACCAAAATCAGTGTAAAAGTATCTGAAACCTCACCTCTGTTTGTACCGATTCAACATGCAGTCAAGTGACTGTGTCTCATTTATATATAATTACTCAAATTAAAACCAAAACATCCTGAGTTGTTTTTCTTTGGTTGCAAAAATAATATTCTGAGTCAAAATGACTCCGTTTGTGATTTACAGTAAATAACCAAGTGTTATTTCTCACTCTTCTTAGTATTCTAGGACTGCAACTTAACAAAATCTGATTTGGAAACTGGAGCGATATTACTCTACAGCATCATGTGAATAAAACACAAAGCAAAGTTAAGATATCCCAGCCACATGCCACATGCATTTTAAAGTATGTTGTTGAAGATATCAGAAAGAATGCTGTGATGATTAAGGAATTCAGTAACTGTGATGTTATTGACTATTTGCTCTTGTTTGTATCTACCGAGTAACCAATGATCATAATGTTTTTGAAACATTTTATTATGCTAGAGTGGTATACCACTGATTAATTTACAGTAACTACCAACTGTTGACAGATTGTTTACACAAGCAAGATGTGTTGGAAGTCACTGCCATCCCAGAGTTGATTTAAATCAGTGGGAATATTTGCTCCACATGGATACAAAGCTCAGACCTATAAATTACTTTAGCTAAAATGAAACAAATTTAAGCATACGTTTATTTGTGCTGATAGCCCAAACAAGATATCCATAATTATCTTTACAAAGACAGAAAAATGCAAAATTCAAATCTCTTAGAAGATTTTAAAGGAGATGATGAGACAGATGAGACAGGTGAATGGAGTTGATAATAAAATCCAGGAACCAAAATACAAGTATTACAAAGAATATAAATTAATGGGACAAAAACACCAACAGTACTGATTTCATACAGTGGTTATTAAAAGACCTTTTTGACTTACATTTTTAACAAACTTTAAGAATAACGTAAAAGAATGGATGAGACAGAAACAAACCGGTCACACCAAATCACAACCAGAAGGATGCAGGTGAAACAGAAAGGATGAAAGCCAGAAGCATCACATCTGAAACAAGGATGGCTCCAGCAATGTTAAGCCCAAGGTGTAAGGTAGCAATAGAGCTGGGAATATGACAGGGTGACAGAGAACTGTGTTAGATGTCTTCTTTCAGAGATAAATTCAATTTTTCAATGTTTTTTTGTGAGTTCATTACAATGAAATAACTGTAGGAGCATGGAACAAACTACCTAGCCATTTTAACTTTGTCCTGGTTTTGCTGAAAATCAAAATGTTCATTCCTTCTAAAACAATCAATGGGAAACAGTGCTTTAGCCTCTGTGAAAATAAGGAAGGTAGTCTTCATCTTTCACAAACCTTTTGCACAAAGAGGGCCAAAATGTACTTTTAGAGTGAAGAACGTTCAGCATGGGATGTTATGTAGAAAAGTCCTATACAGATTCATCCATTTGAAATAGTCTGAACAGCTTCATGGACAGTACTAGTTGAGCTTTTTATCTGGCCTCTTATAATCGTTTTGCTTCTCTTCCCACAATAAGATAGGAGACAGGAATGATTCTATTCAATTACAAAACAAATACCTTGATAATGTTAAGTTACACATAAATATTCATAATCTGAGACAACGAACGATCTAGAGGAGTGATTTTAAACTTTAATGAGCTTTAACAGTTACCAGTAAATCAATGCGGCCAATAAAGCTATAACATCTTCCAAAATCTTTAAGAGAGTGTCCAGAGCCTAAAATAAAGCTGAGCAATATACTGCCTTCCTAGAGTATATTACAAAACCTTAGCAGAAACAAAACAAGTCTCTGCAAAACTTAGTGGCAAGTGTTGGTTTGGATAATTTTAGTGGCAGCAAGAATTCTTCATTAAACACAAAAACCAAGATGAACATGCTGTAATCTTACCAACTGGCGGAGTAGTAATTTCTGCTCCCTGAACAGAGTCTTTTTTAACTTCAGGAGAGGGCAGGGATGGTGAAGAGGGCAGTACTGATGGGGAGTGGGCTGGCAGTGACGTAGACGTTAAAACTGAGAAGGTGGAAGGACCCTTAATCTTAAACTCCGCTCCTTCTGTAGTTTCGGATTCTAAGGCCTTTTCTGTTGTTTGGCTTTCAAGCTCTGATTGTCAGGCGAAATATGATATTTGTTTACAGAAAAACAAACAAACAAACAAACAAACAAAAAAACATGAATAGGCACAGTCAAAAACAATTAATTACAGATATCCCCACAAATGGATACCTTGCACGAGAAATGATACGAGGACATTACTGGCAAGACAAAGAGTGGTTATTCCTGCGCTAGAGATGGTCAGTACACTGGCATTGCCCAGCGAGCCCAGGTATTGTCATTATACTTTCACCTAAGACTCTACCACTGTTCTGTGTGTGTACCTCCCACCTTTGTGAACAGTTTAGGCTTTAAAAAAGAAATGGACTTAAACTCAGTACATCAGTCATCTAAGGAATGAAACCAGTGAGTGGGAAGCATACAGCGCTAAGGCAATAGCATTCAGCTCAATTTTTAAATCCACAGTATGAAGTGTCGTCTAGAAATGTTTATTGAAAGCTATACAGGTCACTTTCCAAATTAAGTATTTGATGTTTTTTCTATGCTCAGGTACATCATTTTTAAAGGTATACAGGATTCTGGTATATTATATAATGCATTTCAGGGCTCGGTAAAAAGGCTGTATTGTATTAGATGCACTGGTTTTGTCTGTTATAATGTTAACAAAAGCTACAATGGTATTATAACTTTTACGTCTACCCTTTGTCAATTGTCTACATTTAACTGATCTCCACAGTTACTTTAAAAAAAAAAGGAAAACTGACCTGTACTTGAAACTGTGAACTCTGTGAGCAATGGGTCGGTTTGGGATGGCATGTAGGGAGACGTTGTTTCGGAGTGAACAATCTCCTTCGTTGTTGAAGCTGGAGTTGTCCTATAGGTACTTGCTGTTTCTGGCTGTACTGCAGTGGGTGTTAATGAGGCCTTTGATAATACTGGCAGTGCTTTTGGAGGACAGAGAAAAAGCTTTTTGAGGAATACTGAATAAAATCTCAGATACAATCAAACTCATCGTTTCACAGCGGAATTTACAGTGCCTTGCGAAATCCGTCAGATGCATGCAGGCACATTTTTTTAAACTTAATAATTTATTTAAAAAAAACTGAATGTTCAGACTGAAGACTTCTAAGGCTAAGTTACAGCAAAGTTAGCGTTGCAATAAACAGCACATTACAGTAAAGTAAGTTACAGTAAAGGTCAGAAGAAAATTAGAGAGAAGAACTGAAATATGCACTGCATTGATTGCATAAGCAGGCCCATTAAATAAGCATTTAATGGACGCAACTCTGGCAGTGAAAACGGCTGCAAGTCTTTCTGGTAAGTCAACACTAACTTTGCACGCCTCCTTGGTGCAATGTTTACCCGTTCTTCTTGGCAGATGTACTTGAGTACTCTCGGGTTGCTCTAGGATTACTTCAACAAATTCTCAATAGGATTCAAGACTTTGACTTGGCCACTCAAGGAGATTCACTTTCTTATTCGTAAGCTTCTATAGTGTGCTTTGGATCCATGTTCTGCTGAATGGTGAATTTCTATCAATGTTCTAGATCTCAAGCTGGTTTTCCTCTAAACTTGGCCTGTATCTTGCTCTATCTATGCTCCTATCAGTCTTGACAAACTTCTCAGTCCCTATTGATGAGAAGCAGTACTATAACAGAATGCTGCTGCCACCATTCTTGACAGTAGTAATGTTGATGACTGAGTGATGCACTATTTTGAGTTTGTTCAAGATGCAACCCTTTGCTTTTAGGCCAAAAAGTTTTTTTTTTGTCGTATCTTTTGCCACATCACTTGGGTGCTTTGTTAGAAACCCCATGTGGGCTTTGGGATGGATTTTTTCAGTTCTATACAAACCCCCTTTGTGGGGTGACTTGGATATCGTTGACTCATGGACATTTTCTCCCATCTCATCCACTCTGTAACTCTTACAACGTCGCCTCATGGTGCCCATCTGAAACCACTTTCCTTCTACCCGACTGCCCGGTTTGCAGGGGTAGCTTGATCTAGGCAGTATCTGGGCACCTTCCTGATCTTAATGATTGTCTTCAAAACGCTCAGAGGTATTAAGGGCCTCTGAAATGTTTTTTTACCCTTCTCCTGATCTGTGTTTTTTCAGTTGTTGTAAAAGCTTCTTGGTCTTCACAGCTGAATCTTTTTATAACTTCGCTACCTGACTGAGGTATGTTACAGAAACAGGTGTATTTATTCTGAAATCATGTAAACCACTGTTATCGTGTTAACTAACTGTGTGACTCCTTAAGGTAGTTTTGCTCACATGTATTGATTTAGGTTTCCCAAAGGATTGGTTTTAAATTCTTATGCAATCATGTATTTTCTGTTTTTCTTCCATATGAAGTACCTATTAACTTTCTCTTTGTTTTTGCTTTGAATGTGTGGACTAGGGTATGTTTATAATAAATGTTAATTGCTACTTCCAAGTTGCCACCTTTAAATCAACAAAATTTAAAAACTGTGAAAGGGTCTCAATATTTTTGCAAGGCACTGTTTGTACAGATACGAGAAATGCTGTAGGCTTTCCTCATCTACATTGTATAAATGTATGCAACGTTTAAGACAATACTGAACATTAAAATGGGGTTATAAAATAAAAATAATTTAAATTCTTTAACAATGTACTGCTGATAATGAAAGAGGTAACAACTAGCTTGAAAGAAACGATACATTGTTTAAAAAAAGGATATTCACAAAAAACTTGTTGGGTTATCTAAAAGGCACCAGAACAGACAGAAATATACCATTTACTTCTACAAAAAAGTCTCAAAATGTATTTTGTATGTCTTCAAAGCATATGATTCTATTGTACCCAGGGTAATTTAATTCCTTATAACGTACAGTGGATATAAACAGTCTACACACCCTTATTGAAATTGCAAGTTTTTGTGATGTAAACCCATTGTCAGACATTTTTCCATCTTTAATGTGACCTTGCAACCAACAAAATTCAAGAGAAAAACAAACCAATAATTAGGAAAAATAATTGAAATTAAAAAACCTACAACACCCTGGTTGCGTAGGTGTGCACCCCCAACTAATACTTTGTGGGAGCATCTTTTGCATTTATTAGACAAGTAAGTATTTGTGAATAAGTCTCAATCAACTTTGTACACCTGGACTTTGCAATTTTATCCCACTCTTCCTTGCATAAAAATTCAAGCAGGGGATCTCCTGTGCACAGCCCTCTTTAGCTCATTCCACAGGTTTTCTATGGGATTGAGGTCTGAACTCTGACTGGGCCATTCCAAGACTTTGATCTTCCTTTTCTGAAGCCATTCCTAGGTTGACTTGGATGTGTGCTTTGGGTTGTTACCATGTTGAAAGGTGAAATTCCTCTTCAACTTCAGCTTCAGCTTTCTGACAGAGGCCAGCAGGTTTTGTGCCAAAATATCTTGGTATTTGGAGCTAGTCATTATCCCATCTATCTTGACTAGAGCCCCTGTCCCAGCTAAAGAGAAGCAGCCCCAAAGCATGATGCTGCCACCACCATGCTTCACAGAAGGTGTAGTGTTTTTTGGATGATGAGCTGTGTTGTCTTTACGTTAAACATATCTTTTAGATACGTTTTAAACCTTTGTCTCATCAGACCATAAGACATTTTTAGACAGGATTGGATGTTCTTTTTTGTGAGAAATGGCTTCTGTCTTGCCACCCTACCCCATAGCCCAGATATGTGCAGAATACGTGAGACTGTTGTCACATGCAAGGAGTGACCAGTACCTGCCAGAAATTCCTGCAGCTCCTTTAATATTGCTGCAGGCCTCTTGGTAGCCTTCCTGATAAGTTTTCTCATTGTCCTGTCATCAAACTTGGAGGATCGTCCTGATCTTGGCAATGTCCCTGTGGTGCCACATTTTCTCCACTTGTTGATGATAGTCTTCACAGTGCTCCATGGTACATCCAATGCCTTTGATAGTCTTTTATACCCCTCTCCTGATCGGTAACTTTCAACAGTGAAATCCCGTAGATGTTTTGTCAGCTCTTTGCAGACCATGGCTATCCCAGTACGATGCAACCACGAAAGTTTCAAGGAAATCCTACAGGAATAGCTGATTTTTATTTGGGGTTAATCAGAATCACTTTCCTTGATGGCAGATGTATGCTGCTTACCTTTGGACAGGATTTTGAATGTGATTGGTTAACTTTAAACATAACTCCCATTATAAAAGAGTGTGCACACTTATGTAACCAGGGTGTTGTAGGTTTCTTAATTTCAATTACTTTTCCTAATAATTCTCTATTTGTTTCTCTCTTGAATTTTGTTGGTTATAAGGTCACATTAAAGATGGAAAATGTCTGACATGCCTGATATGATTTATCTTGATTTCTGGCTTTACATTATAAAAACCTGCAATTTCAATAAGGGTGTGTAGGCTTTTTCCATCCACTGTAGCCTGGGATATTAGAAATTAGCCTGATCATCTCTTTCAATTAAGAATATCTCATTCTAATTTGTGCTGTTAGTTCTTTTTCTTTAAGAAGGCAAAGGGGTATCTTGATAGGAATATACAATATCCTTATTAATTTTGTCATTAAATATTGCAATTCAGAATCAAGACTACAAAATTAATTTTCATACATAATGCTGACAATGGACTACAAAACAATAATTCACTGCTAGAGCATGACATGAGCATAGCACAGCAACAATGAGCACCATGGATGTCTATGATTAACAGTTCAGGACTGGCAACCCTTAACGCGCTCCATTGGTCCCAAGACTTCAGCTAACTTAAGTCTGAAATGCTGAAACTGATAATCAACTGATAATCGAGCAGAAAGAGTTCACAGATACACTGATATTCACACAGCACCACTGCGTGCACTGCACGCCATTGCATGTTACACATTGCAAAACACATCTAGCGTATGGTTTGGTACATCAAAGCTGTCACGATCGCTAACCCCTCCTCTTAAGGGCGCTCCAGCTCTTCCTCGTTCCCTCCCATTGTCTGCACCTGTTCCCTATTCCCGCTCCCCCTTAAAGCCAGACGCGGACCTCACTCCTGGTTCCTCATTGATTTCCGCATAGTGAGATCCTGGGGGGGGTTCTGCTGCGTCTGGCTCCGTTATGGTTTTAACTTTCTGTTCCTGATCCTCTGCCCCGCCGGTCCCGACCCGGCTCATGGTTTTAACCCCTGGATGGATCTCCTGGCTTTGGACTCTTCTCTCCCGTTTGGACTTTGGCATTGTTTGTTCGCCCGGACTCACTTTCCCAGTACATCAGCTCACCTTGGACACGGCCCCCTGTATCCTGACCCTTTCCTGCATGACTTTTTCCCTCGTGTATCTTCACTATTCTGGTTCGCGTAATCCGCATAGGGCCCGGAAGGAACTGCTACGTGACATAAGCAACCAAACCATAAGAGCTTAAGGACATCAGAAAGGTTAGAAACAAGAGGTAATAGATCTAAGTATCTCATCCAACTGTTTACTGAAAGAAGCCAGGGTGTCAGCTTCAACAATAATGCTGGGCAGCTTGTTCCATTCTCCCACAACCCTTTGGTTAAAGAACTGCATCCTATGCTCAATTTAAATGGACGTCCACATAGCTTCCATATGCTTCATTGCGAAGATGTTGTACACAAACTTCAATGTGTTAACCCTGGTAATCTGAATGTATGCTACCTGCAAGAATCCTGAGTTTTTCTCAGAGTGAGGTCAAATTATATTCTTTACTCCTTTTATGTCTGATGCCTTATATTGTACCTAAACAATTAAAATGACATCATACCAAAACAAATAAAATAAGATTGGGCCACTTGAGTTAGAGGCAAAATTTGCAAACAGAACAGCTGTGTTATACATTATCCTTTTATTTTACTTGAAGTCTATTACATTCTGTCAAGATTGCAACACCTCCTCTTAAGGGTGCTCCAGCCCTTCCTCGTTTGTATCATTCCTGCCACCTGTTCCTTGTTTCTTCCCTGTTTCTGTTAGCCTTTAAAAACCAGGTGCTCATTTCACCTGGGGCTCTGCAGCAGATCCCTGCATCGTGTGAGCCCGGGACCTGGTTGCGCCTGGCTCCGTTATGTTTTTAACTTCCTGCTCCTGTCCTTGTTCCCCACGCCGGTCCTGACCCGGCACCTGATTTTAATCTGTTTGGATGGATTTCCCAGCCTTGGACCTTTTGCTTTCGTTTTTGGATTCCCCCATTTGGATTTATTCTGGACTGTTCCCCTCGGTCACACCTCCCAGGATCACCAGCACCATTCCTGCATGACTTTTCCCTAGTGTATTCCTTCCTCACTATTCTGGATTGTGTCGTCTGCATAGGGTCCGGATAGAACTGATCGTTACACATTCATCATCTCCACTACAGCTTCCCTGTTATTTTTGCCCCGCTACATAGTTCTATAAAAGATTTTACACACAGTTAATGTCACAGTTAATGTCTGAAAAGCATTTTTGGTATTTTAGTGGACTTTGTGCAATCGATCATTCCTACAACATGGAGGAAGGCTGGCCTTATATCAGATTTAGAAGTCTTAACTGCAAACTGCTTGGGGCTGACCGAGATATCTTATCTTTTTCTCAGAAATGGTAAAACGTCTATTATCTTCTTTAAAAATCACTTTATGCATGGAATGGCAGTGAATTATCTGAAGTACTAAACAGGTTTGTGAAAAGGTCAGAGAGAATTTTTTACACGAACAAAAGTCCCTTAGTCTGACGCACAAAAGTAAGGTAAAGATGACAGTCAAAGGCAAAGCATCTGAATTTGCAGGAAAGATAAAAGCACAATTAATATTCAGAGCAATGTGTAAGCAATGTGTGAAGTAACAGCACTATCAGCACTAGCAGTAATAACAGAACAAGCATGGAAAACATTATGGTTATCATATGGAATAAAGCAAATTACCAGAATTATGGATTACACACTATAATAATTCATGTTCTAAATATAATGTTGTGGTCTTGCAATTATGTTATACCTGCTGTGAGAGCTTATACAGCAGCTGTTCCAAGAGTTTTGAAATCAAGATTATTCCAATGTTGGTTTAAAGGCACTTTTAGTATTCTATTTGTATTTGTAATTTGTAATAAAATAAGATTTTTAAAATAATACCAGTAAATGTAAAATGTTGTCTTCTGGGTTAAGTTTGCAAAAGTTAAGGGGATGATTTTGTTTCTCTGCTGGCAAAAATTATATACAGCAACACTATACCCAGTGAACACAGACAAGTACAATTTCAATAAATGATTCCATCTCCTTAGGGCTCAGCTACTGTACATACAGAGCACAGTTTGATTGGTCTTTGTCCAAGGTGCTGTATATATTCATGAACTGCAAAGCAGAATACGCACAATGAAAGAACAGTGTGGTAAGAAACATGAAAGTAAAATTCTAAAGCACCTACTTACCTGAAGTTTTTGTCCTTTTTAACTTTGGGTCAGCTATTGCAGTGAAACAGAAAACATAACACATTTTAGTGTACAGCTGTATAACTGTTGACAAAATCTGTAATTGTAATGTGTCAAGAGAAGTAGGTAGTCCCACTTAATTCCTGAAATGAACAGAAAAAAAAACATTTTTCTTTTGGGATTACATCTGACCATCTAATTCTGTAGTAAGTTAGCTGTGAAGATGATAATTGTGAACCATGCTTCAAGTTTATGTAGAGAAATTATAGTACATATCTTTTGTATAGTTATGTTTAGTATGATTCTAAAATAGGAATAAAAAATGCTTGAGCTTTTCATTTATGATTAGAAGATGATACTTGTAGCAGTATTCACCCCCTTCCAGTGATTTTTGTTAATTACAAATGACATAATAAAGTGAATATTTTCATACTCAAATGGAATACTTTTAGGAGTGAATGTTTAATGCCAATGAAGAAAAACCAAAAACTAAAATATGTTGAGAATAGAAGTATTTACCTTCTTTGCTGTGACAAACCTAGGTACAGGTGCCCAAAATTACGTTAACAAAATACACAATCAGTTGAATTGCCTCTATGTGCAATAATAGGGGTTCCTTGTCATTTCAGAATAAAAGCAATTGTCCCTATAAGGTAACTGAATGAGACATTTGAAGTAAAGATTTTATCAGACACTGCTAGTATACTTAGTGGGATCAGGACTGCACATCTTTGACATGCTTAGGAAGAAACAAATGTTTGCACCCTAAAGAAGCCATTTGGCCTCACTAGTGCACTTAGGTTTTAGCAACTAATTGACCTGAGGATCTCATCTGGTGGGTTTTTCAAAGACGCTATGATATTGGCTTTGATAATTTGGCTGGATAAGATGGTTCCAGTCTCCAACAATGCTATATTTAAGGATGAGCCTATTCTTATCAATTTTACGTGACCTTAAGACATTCATAAGGTTGTCTTGCCTTTTAAGATTGTGAAGCATCTTCTGCTGCTTCCTAAACGTACATATCCCTGTTGCATCTTTAGACCCTGTGATTCATCCGCATTGCTATTTCTGTACTGTGCATCGTTTCAGTTGCATGATGTGGAATTATTGTACGAACTAATTTATTTTGGTTTACATCTCTTTACATTATTTTATTTTTGTATGCTTCGGTCTTTTTCATAGCTGGTTAAATGATTAGAACATAAGTGATATTGGATCATACAGTGAACCCCAATCATGTTTTCATTTTTGAATAATAGATAGTGCTTCTGTTTCATAGGCCCTTATAAATGTAAGTATTTTTTTTTCTATAAGTTTAACTTACATACTACTTCCTTTTTTGTTGAAGGCCTTGTGGTTTGCGTTGCTCTTTTTCACTATACATACAAAGCACTTTTTCTAGTAACCAGGTTGCTAATTGTGATTTATTTCTCACGAATAAAAAGAAATCTAGGACACTTACTGATGCATATTAGGTTGGACTGCGACCACACAAGTGTGTTATTCTTTTTCACACAGCGAATGAGATTGGAGGTCCCAGCTTTTCGTACATAACCCACAGTGCAGTTGTAGCGAAAAACTGCCCCTTCGTTAAACCTCCTGGCTAGATTTGGATGCTCTGTGTCACTTAGTGGGGCTGGGGGAGAGCAATACCCTGTCTCTGAAAAGAAAGAAACACAGCCAGTGAGTTATCAGGTACAAAATGCCTCTGAAATTCAGCCCTAGTATATAATCTACCTACAAAATGAATTGGCCTCAATCTGAAATGCTCCTCCACAACAATGCTCACAGCCCTGCTACATGAATATATTTGAACTGATAATATAAAACAATAGAGATCAGTTATTGTTGCACAATATATGTTGTGGCCATAAATGACTGGGAGAAAATCACAAAAGTGCAGAAATCAAAGCTCTTGTTACATAACACAACTGTCAAATTCCAATTATATCTTCTTGTGCCAGATTAAGGACTGTTAATGGACAAAAATAATCTAAAGCAGGACAAAATCATAGACAGGACACCAGTCTATTGCAGCTCATAAAACACTATAGTACACCCACGCACTTTGACCTACTGTGCCTTCATTGAAAACAGTCTTTTCTTGAAAATGAACTAAATATGTGATATTGAGTGGAATACAGTGCCATAAGATTAGGGACAGTGAAGTCAACATTGCCATTTTTGCATATACTCCAGAAATTCGGATTTGAGATGATAAGAATAAATATGATGTTGCCGAAAGTCACCCTTTATTTCTGGGTATTTCTGTGCATATATGCTTTAACATTTTAGAATGAAGCCTCATATTAATCTTTTAATCTCAACCCAGAATTGCTTGAGTATACAGCAAAAATAGCAGTGCTGCCTTCACTGTCCCAATACAATACCAACGGAGGGCACCGTATATATCTAAGTGCATGGACTTACTGTAGTGTTAAATAGACTGCTGTCCCTTTTTCCTACTCGGGCCCTTCTGGAATTTGTTCTGCTACGGTTCATACTGGGAATGAGTGGCTTTCTCATTACAGATATGCGTATAGATGTATAGATAGTCTCTAAAACCACAATTAAGACTCATATTATAGGTCTGTGTTTAGCTCTTATTCATCTGGGTTATAAATTGGGGTGATATTACTCTTAATTTTCAATACATTTCCTTTCACAAGATATTTCAGAAGAGAAAAAAAACATTTTAAATATAATGGTGGTCCAACTTATGGGGCCATATAAATAATCTTACTAATATGCAGTCACAAAAGCTATCTGACAAGTTCAAAAGCAATTTGCTTTACTTGGTGATCTCATCATATTAGCATTCTTTATATTTTCTGATAAACTGACCTGCCTCTTATTGCATTTTGAACTTATTTATGTTTTTTTAATACAGCAAGTGGAGCTGCTTTTGTAGCTGAAACAAGTTTTACCTCCATGATAATGCACAGATCGAAAACAAGGAGAAGAGCATTCATTTTCATAATGCAACTTTACTTATTTTAATTAAATTATTGTTAACTGTTTTAATTACACAGGTTTGGTTGTTTAATGCATACAAATGTTACCAACAAGCTCTACACCAACAGCAATGCAAATGTAATTTCAGATATTTAGGCGAAACAAAACGTATAAACTCCACTTTCTTTGCCATAAATAGACACACTGTATTATGAAATACAACTTTAGAAAGAAGTTATAAGACTGTTATGCTTTCCATATTATTTTTTCTGGAAGTGTGCACTTACTCTTTTTATTTTTGTTGCAAAAAATACTTAACTTATTTTTTAAATTAGCCATACCAAACATTTCAGGACATTGAGATCTGTACTTTACCCAGATATTTCTCATTTTCACTGGTCACTCTGCTCCAACGGCAAACAGATGAGTATCCTAAAGTCTGCTAGCTATGTGTTTGAAAACCTTAATGACTGCGTTTGACAAATTCCTGAGTTTTTTTATATATATAGTAGTTGCTCCGCATACTAGCAAGATAATTTACATAGAGATATCCAATTAGATTAACAGAATAATACGGGAGGCCTGTATTTGGCACAGCTGGTAAAAGCACTTGGCCAGGGGCAGACTTGGCCAGCTGTGAATTCTGTGAATAGGGCACTATTTGTCACACTCCTTCGACTCCTGAGGTATGCACAGGCTGTGTGGATGCCGTCAAACGAGGAATGATCCTCTCCTGTAACTGACACTGAACCTCATATATTGACCAAAGATTAGTAAATTAGTCTCAAGACGGGTAGCACAGCCTACTTTTTCTCATTCTTCCCCATGTGTGGCTGTGGCATTTGTATCTAATAAAGGTTAAAACAAAGGAAATGAAGGACTAGAGAGAAAACTTGTCAGCTTTGTTGCAAATATATTTTTATCTATACACTGTAGCTCTGCACCAACTGCTTTGTTGCCTTCTTTGAAAAACCCATATATTTTTGGTCAATGGGACTTGAGCCTAAACAATGTATTTAAAGGGAAAAGAAAAAAAATACCACTTTAAGTACCGTTGAAAATATTTCACTCTTCTGTGTCTGGTTCTCAAAAATATTCCTAACCTATTGCCTCTACTAGTTAATAATTACACATTTGCACTCTATTTCTACATGTATTTTAAAGCCATTTTGTAGTTGCATATAGAGTACATATATTTATAGACAGCAAATCTAATTAGGTCAGTATTTTATATACAGTGAAAATCAAAGTAAGCCATTATACTCTTAATACAATTTGAAAATAATCCATATGCATCAAACCTATTTTTGTTGCCTATTTATTTAGGTTACTATACAGTACATACAGTCTAGCCTGTTTATATTATAATATATAACTGCTTCTGTTATTAAAACTGTACCTGCCAGAGTGTTAAAGAAAATCAGCTCAATGTAAAAGTCACTAGGAACGTCTCCAGTCTGAAGCAAATTTAAAGTTGCTGCATACATCATATTTCTCACAGTTTGTTCATGTGTATGTCTGTACATGTGTTGAACTATTCAAGAACTTTCAACAGTAATTACTGTATGTGTAATTCAAACAGTTAAGAGCTGTGGGGCTAAACCGTGAAAAGGTGTAGAGATAAACCCTGATTTAATGGAAATAAAATGCTATTACTGATTTAGTTTAGTGAATAATATTGTAATATTATTCAGTCATATGAGTCAAACATCCATAAATCAATTTTCTAACTGCTTTTTCTAATTCAGGGCTGCAAGGGAGCCAGGGTGCATCCAGACAAGCGTCAGATTAGGGTAACGGCAACAGTAACCATGGTAGCAGTCCATCACAGGGTACTCGCTCGCACCAGGGCCAATTTTCCCAGAAGCCAATAGACCTACCAGCAGGACTGTGGGAGGAAACTGGAGCACCCAGAGGAAACCAGCAGGGACACAAGGAGAACATACAAACTCCACACATATAGCACCCCAGGTCCAAATTGAACCCAGTTCCACTGTGCTTGTGTGAACCAAACAGTAATTTAAAATATTAAGTCTTAACTTTTTTGTAATACGAAATGATGGCGTCAAAATAAAACGCGTTATGTCTGGATGATTCCAACAGGAGATATGTTTGTGATATATAAATATGAAAATATGTATATAGCTATATATAATATTACACATATATTTAGTAAAATATTTTGTGGATGAACTGTGGTTTACAGGTGAGTAAGAATTTTATTTTTCAATATGGTTTCCTTGAGCATCCAATCATCCTTCCTATACTGTACATAGATTCATTCATCAAGCTAGTAAGAAGGAACTCCAACAGACCCAACAGACAGATCTTATAGTCCAAGATCTGGGCTACAAGATCTGTTAACCTAGAGACCAACTCAGGACCTGATTCTTCAATATACTGTTTTCCTTGCTGCTAGAAACTTTCCATGATCTGAACATCAATAACAGCGATAAGGTCCAAGTAGTAGTATATCTCTTTTTAAGTATTACTGGAAAAATACCATTATGTCTATTCATCATGTCACTCTATTCAGTGAATTATAAGCGGTCGAAGGTCTGCCAGTCTTCTGCCTCTGTTACCTTATTATTTTTAAACCAAAGCAGGTCTGAGCCACGCTGTCCATGTTCTCTTTGGTGAAATCATGTGTAAAATATGATTTCCTTACTTTTGCTATTTTCTTTTTATAATCATCCATAATCAACACGTTGCTGTGCTTTTCACTAACTTCTGCCTTAAAACATGTATACGTTCTCTGATTTTTCAAAGTCCTTCCTAACTTGTGTTTCCAGATCAGTGTGCTCTTCAGGTTTATCAGGATCTTAGTCCCCTTCAAATACACAGTGTGCTCTCTTATTTCCAATCCTGCACAGTCACAGCCCCCATCTATTCACACCATACATTTACAAGAATGTTAGTCACTAATTCTAATAATAATTGCACTTATGATAATATAAGTGCAATAAATATTTGTTGGTAAACTATATTCACTTCACCATATCTCTCCTGACTTTATTGAGCTCTTATTCATCTTAGCAAGTGATTGCTTAGGTGATTTAAACACTGAAACAGGGGTGTCTATCTCTAGTCCCAGAGGGCTGGCATGCCTGCATGTTTTTATTCCAACTCAGATCTTAATGAGCTAATCCAGCTTGTACCTGTCTTAACTGGGCCAATTCAGCAGCTTTCTTGGCTGTCCATGTGCTATTATTTAACTAGACCTGGAATTCCTGCAGACAGTCTGTCCTTCCAGGACCAGGGACTAGTCAGTCCTGCTTTTGAAATGTTCCTGTTTTTCTCACTTCTGCAAAGCAACTTGTCTAAAATTTGTAATGCACTGAAACAGTAACCTTAAATTGTTTTGTTTGAATAATAAATATTTATTACACTTTATAAATTGTCAATAAACCTTCCTGCGACTAGGTTAGAGCTCCAAAATGTACAGGATGCGGTCTCTAAATATTGATTTAGTATCGAAAGATTTTTCAGTATAAAAAGATTTGCATGTCGTCGTATATTAATAAATATCTTCATGTTAGGAATATGAGAGTTACTAGAAACCACGCAGGTTATGTCCTGTTTTGAGAAATTCTGTATATTTTTGTATATTTGTTTCTCTGGCGGCTTGTTACAGCGTTACAATAAACTTCAAGACATACAGTACAGTAGTAACAAGTAGTAACATTCACATCCAATCATTGACCCGCTGGACTACTTACACTTAGGCAAAGAACGTTTCCATTAAGAAAAGTTAGTGTTTAACCTATATAAATGCAGTAATACTATACATACTTCCCTTCTCCCTGCATAGTATTTTCTATTTGAGTAATGGATCGACGTTCTTACGTTTTTGTCCTGAGTTTGCAACACTAGGGAATGTTGCAGGCGTGCTACAGGGTTCGCAGTTAGTGTTCAGGTCCGTCGGAAAAGTAATTAACGCAATCAGGCTAATCATTAAATAACTCTTCATTTTCTTCTTTCATGTTTGTTTTATGCTACGCAGTAATAGAGTTGGAATATACTTACCCTCTGCCCACACTGTATCATGATGTTTGTAGTTTGCCAGAGGGAAAAGCACAAACAGCGTCAAAGAAATGGCATTACGAGTCATTCTATAAACAACGTCTACAGATGAAACGTTAACAGTAGTATCTCGAAACGTAACAGTGAAGTGAATAACCTGAGCATTGCTGCTCTTTTTTTAATTGATCACGCTGTGAAAGCGAAAGGATTCCTTTTATCTATATTACGTTCTCTCTTGGTGAGTTCTTTCACTTTCATTTTGAGTTTTCTACTTCAGCGATGTCAAGTCATCAGCAAAGCTGGGGCAGTGCACTGCTTGGCCACAACCATACTCTTAAAACATGACCTTTTTAGGCTTTTTTTTTATACTGTATGTTCTAGCACAAAAATACCATTATTCCTGAAACAGGTGACAAGACGCTCTCTTTGTTTTGGAATGGGAGACAGTTAAAAGGGAGAAATCCTGGTTAACGTGTACTGGTATGGTAAACTATGGTATAACAAAAATAATAAAAAATGCTTAACACTAGTAAAACCTTGGAAGTAATGAACACATGTTGAGTGATAAACTTTCAGTAGAGTGGCCATACAGATTGCACATTTCCTACATTGAACGTTGCCACTGGAAAACTAGCTCATTCGAATTAAGCACACAATTTTGAACTTTGTGAAATCGGACGAGAGTGAGACTTCTCGAGAATTGTGACATGAAATGGCCCTTCCTGCTCACTTGTCACTATAATGACTAATGCGATTTTCAAGCCAATAAGTACAAGTTGTACAGCAGACATTTCACCGCAGAAATGTTCCAATATGATCTGCATGCAGAGTTAACAAGTAAATTGTATGTCTCTGTAAAACTGTCTCAAAATCAAGAGCAATATTTCTATTGGATTCAAAGAGATGTATTAATAAGCCTGCTTCAAGTCAACAGAAGTTTTATTCTGAATCACAGAATATGGCACTGCACATACCTGGAAATGTAATCTATTTTGTGATGTAAATTGAAGGTATTACACATTACTGTGTACACAGTATTCTACTTTTATTGTGGTTTGAAATACACTCATCTGTACTGATTGTTTCTAATCCCGTAATACAAAAACATAGTTGCAGCTCCCCTTTAATTGGCTTTGGGAAAATTAGCTCTGGTGTAAGTGTGTGCCCTGTGATGGACTGGCGTCCTTCCCAGGGTATACCCTGCCTTATGTCTGTTGTCTGACTCCCCTGTTGGATTGGAAGATGCATTTGGAAGATGCATTTAGAGGATGGAAAGATGTTCAAATTAAGTCAAAGATAAGTCCATCTTTTTCTTATTTTTAACTAATATAATCCTGGCTGGCCTAATGATGTTGTGGTTAGTGCTTCTGTCTTGCAGCACTTTGGTTTGATTTAGGACAGGGGTATCTTCTGTGTGGGGTCTGCATTCCCTCCCCATATTCAATTGGGTTTTTGAAAGTCATACTGTCTCAGGTACTGGGTGTGTATAAATTGTGTGCATGCCTTGCAGATGATTTGGCATCTTGTTTTGGACATGTTTATTTTGGACCACAGGTTGTTGCGGCAGAAGTAAGCACTTCCTGACAATGGGAGTAGGAGTCATGGCAGCTTGCATGGTTTTCCATTGCTTGTTTTATCCTGTAGTATACCCCTCACTTTGATTTCACTGCACTCTCCACTTGGGTTCACGACAGTCGAAAGAATGTGGTATTTTTGGACTTTAGACTTGTCTCAGGGTGTGTCTGTGTTTAGGGACCCACCAGGAACCTGTGACACTCCCCACATGGCATCACAGTGTCCAGTAGCTCAACATTGTGTTTATTATCAAAGTTGTGTATTGTAACTGCAATGAGGTGTGACCAGTCTCAGTGATATTGTAATGTGTGTTTTTATTAGTGAAGAGATTGTAGTTTGTACACTTTGCACTTTGACTGTTGAAAATACACGTAGTGTGTCTGAATGTTGTGACCCTTTTCTGTCAATGACACCAAAGCTGCTCACCAAAATTTACTAACCTTATACATTGGTCCAGCATGTAACTCGAGTTACAAAGCAAGAAGGAAGATGAATACATTGTTAGCAATAAATTTCAGATCCCATTTGACATCAGATTGAAATGATTGAATACTGAATGTAGAATGATTTTGGTGTGCTGTTAATAGTAAGATTAGCAAGGTTCTTTCTAAAAACTTGTTCCTATTCTATAAAGTGCCTTCCCTAAAATATTGCCAATTTATAGTGCTAAAACTGAACATCATGCAAATGTAGGCATATCTAATATCTTATTTAGATATTTTCAGGGTTTGCTTTTGTTAAACGTCATTTTAACAGTGTTAAAAATGCACTCAGCAGTAATTCATGCTTATTTTAAATCTAGCAACTACTGTGTAAATATCTCAGATTGTATTAGGAAGATGTAAAATAGCTTCAATGAAAAACACTTTTTCTTGTTATGTTTTACTTTATTCGCTTATTTCAATGTAAAGGCAACTTGAAAGCCATGGAAATTACCATTAAATGTGTATTGTGCATTGAAATAAGCTCAAAGGGAATTTTTCAAAACCACATCCGTTGTAGTTAATCTGCAATGATGTCTTTTTCTTAGTACAGCGATGTTTACATGTTATGTTTCCACAGAACGTCAACAGACTGATTTGTATCAAACCAATTTTAATGCTCTTGCGTTATACTTCTGTTAAGATCTATAACACAATCTTCCACCAGCCAATAATGCAACAGGATGGGATATTTCCAGTCTTTGACAACCAGGGAAATTGAGAGGTATACATTACCAACACAATAGTACTGCTTTGTTATTTACCCCTTTGATCTTATGCATTAGCCAGATTTACAGACGGTTTTATTAAACCAAAATGTCTGGCCTCATAGACAACACTTTCCCACTGTCCCAAGTAAACATGCAGTTATTCTGTTAGATCCAAATTTGACTGATTTCGTTGGATCAGCAAGACATTATGTACTTTGTTTGGACAAATGAAAATTAATGTATTTCAAGCCCTCTTTGCAGCAAAAACAAAAAATAACATAAGGACTCAACAGATTAGATAAGTAATCTGAATCAATGTGGTGAAGCACATGTCTTCGAGGTTTAACGGAAGAGACCTGAATGTGAAACCTGAGAGGAAGTGATGAGAAATTACACAGATGTAGACTAATATAGTCCTGCTGCTTCTTCAATTTTCAGTGACTGTTTATTCTAATACAGGCTCATGGAGAACCGGAGCCTAACTTGGCAGACAATGAGCACAAGACAGGGTACTTCTTGGACAGGATACAAACTAAAAAAAGTTAGGCTCAAAAACTGTGCTTGATCTAATCCTTGCTCCAAGAGTATTGTTGTTATGAGTCCCTTCATTACAGAAAGTCTAGGATTCACGGCGACCAGTATTCTAACTGAGGATCTCTGAGCTCTTTGCCTGCAGTATTCCAGGCTTAGAGATCTGCATCCTAAGTAACACAACCCTCAGTAGCTCCACATAACTTCCCGTGATCTACCTTCAGGGCCTCGGTCCTAGCTTCTATATACGCCTTCAAGGTCATGTTCGAGGTCTAACTCCCTGGCGGCGTAGTAGCAGTGTGAACCCTCTCTTGGTTGTTCCTATTTGGTAGAAACTGGTTTATCGCCTTCATTATCTTACTGGCAGTCCGACACAGCAATAACTGAGTCCAGGTCCTTGGTGTAACTATCTAAGAGCTCCCAGCTACTCTGTATAACTTAGTCTCAGACGTAACTCACACACTAACAGCTACTGACTCAACCACACTGCTAACACAACTAGCAGAGGCCACCTTTACACACTTTCTCTCACCTACCCCCACGACAACATGTCAATTTGGAACTGTTGGCGCACTTCCCTCATGCCTACACTGCACTATTAAAATCATCACAAGAGGCCATCTGCTTTCTGACTATCACACACCTCATTCACTTAGGCATGACAGCTATCTGAGAGACTGTGCGGTCTCTGTACATTGTGGGAGGATGCAGTTCAGGTTCCTAGCTCTTACGTTGCTCCCCTTCCAGGGGAAGACTGCAGGCTTGCTTAACCTGCTGACTTCCCACAGACCATTACCCTAACACAGCTGCTAACATCCTGGATACGCAGCTGCGGATCTCAGATGTCACTACACTTCCACCTCCTGGGATTCTGCCTTGGGAGGCATGACACTCCCTCTCCCTTGGGTCAAAGCTTGGGATGAAGTACTGCTCTTTCCAAATTCTGCCTTGAGGGACTTTAAAACACATATTTACAGTATCCTTGGAGAAAACCAGCCACAAGGAGATGGCTTATGCATTTCATATCTCGTAGAACCTGTTAATGAAGTCCAGTTGTGGTCCATGAAGAATAGGATGTACTGTAGACTAAACAGGAGAGCACTAACTACTCACAGGGAATCTTATCTGTGACTGATAGTTAAATTTTACAATGGTGCACATGATGTGCAGGCTGAAAGATTACTGTGTCAGTGAATGTCATCTAGGATTTTAACTGTTTTGAGTTGTACTGAATATTTGTTTCAAAACCAAAGGGTAAAGAAGGTACATTCCTAAAATTCCTTTAGAAGATACCCCTGAGTGAAGAGGAAGATGTAAAGGCCGTAATACTATTCACTGGTTGAACATCCCAGTCAAAAGATATTAAAAAACCCACTTGCTAACTCTGGCTCAGAACAATATCTTGTCCCAACAGCTCTGTTTGTCTACAGAGGCTGAACAAAATGTTCTATGTAGATCTCTCTGCGAATTGTAAGTCAGGATTGTCACAGATTTATTTCAGTTTCGTTTGAGCTGTACTGCCAGGCTGCAGTACAGAAGACGCTGTAATGACCGTGCTGGGACCAACTCGCGTCCTGCCATTCCTAACATTCCCAGGAGCACTCAAGCCGTTATTCAAACTAGGTCGGGACGGATTATTAAATCTTCAATCTTTCAGTCAGGCTTCCGCACTAGATTCCAATCATACTCATTACCTCCCTCTTTAAGTCTGTTCGCTTTTTTATTATAGTTAATAGAGTTTAAAGGACTCAGTGACCACATTCCTCGTGTAGTGAAATGCGTAAATTGGTCATTATCCTTAGTTCTATTCTTTGTTCCTGAAACATTTTCACCGTTTTATTTTTTTCCTTTTCTTGCGCCGACTCGCCAGTCTATCCTTATTTCAGCTGGGAGCCTGGAGTTCCTTTTTGTTTTTCTTTCCATTTCTTTTATTGAGCCCGACTTCATTGAGAAGCCTGTTACTGATCTGTTTTTATTTCCTGATCAGTTAGATAACTTCTTA